AGCATTTTACGTAAAATGTTTTAGCTCTAAAAAATTTTCACGCATTTTAAACACGTATTTAATAAATTTTAAATTTTATAAATCACGCATTTATAAAGGCTGACAAAAAATTATAAAGGGTTTCAAAAAATCAGATAATTTCCAGTACCTGTCAAAAATATACTGATGTACATAACTAACCTTTTTAGGGATCTTACTGGAGTTTTAGCAGTTTTCCCTGGTGCTATGCTAGGGGTTTGTGCCTTGCTGCATGGGGTGAAAGAGCCCTTTAAAGTCAAGTATCTTCTTTCAGCAGTAGAACCATTTACATCATGCAAAGGTGTTCGTGAAGGTGTTTCAAAGATATTTTTGGTTTGAACAGCCTGGATAAAATATGACGAATTATATTATTATGTCTCTGAAGAAGTCTGTGCCATAAACTTTTCAGCTTATTTTTATCAATTTTTTTTTTTAGAATTATTACGTAACAGTTACATTTTAGAGAAATTTTAAAAGTACAATACTTATTTATTGATATAACAATTATTCAAGGGTATTACTTTAGATATAAGTAAAAAATAATTATTACAACAATAAAAAGTGACCATTTAATCTTTATTTAAAAGCATGTCATTTTGATTTCCACACGACAAAGAATGTCATGTAACAGAACATCAAGCTATAGTATTACAAGTACTATAGTACATATTTACCAAGATACATTACTGTTTTAAAACTTACTTCAGCAGCTGTAATATTTTCCTTATCAACACATGCTGATGTTTGGGAGAACATCGTTATGGTTATCTTTTATACTTCTTGATACACTGTAATAAAAATAAATTCAGAAAAACAATTTTAGAGATTCAATCGGTGTTTAGAAATAGAGTACACATAATTTATCTTCATTTAAGCATCAGTTTCTGTCTCTAGAGGAACGTCTTAATAGTTCGTGAATCTATTATATATGTATACTAAAGATTTGTTCCAAGGTTCTCAATAAGAATGCTACTTAGATCTACCTGGAAAAAAGTTGTATTTTTAGATTTAGAGGTGTAGATTTTGGAATCTTTTTGAAATTTCCAAACTTTTTGAAAAGCCAAGCATCTAAATCGAATAACAATTTCGAGTATTAATCCGATAACGTAATACTTACTGTATTTTAAAGCTTTTATGAATGCAAAAACATAATAATAACAAAGATAGACAGATATTCACAAGTTCGAATGTGGAGCGTTGTAAGATCTCGATAATCACGAGATCTCGCGAGAGTATTCTACGAAAGCAACGACAGCGTAATGAAGCAGAGTTAATGCATTGTAGATTATGTTTGTCTGCAATAAAAGGGAATAATATTTTTACAAATAAGCATCTTTTGGTGTCAATAATGATCTGAAACATCCCGAAACAAAGGCTGTCGTAAATGTTTACATCACGTGACACCAGCAACATGGCGGCAACCATGAGAAGGGCCGTCACACAAGTGACTGATGTTGTTTTTCCCGTTTCCAGAGCTTCAAAAGATGGCCAGCAACATCATATATTGAACTCAGGTAAACAAGCACAGTGTGTCTAAAGCGGTTTGAAATGGACCCTTATTTGTTATCAAACAACTCTCTTTACGTTGACTTAAGTAATGCCTAATGGAAATGGTTCGGTAGAAGGTTGTTTTCAAACAAATTATTTGATAATTTGAAGATATCCTCATGATATTTTATTTATGATTATTTATTGAGTTGTGGTCGCAGTATATAGTCGATGCAAATTTTCTTATCGAGCGTTGGTTGGTTTGTTTTATCCGGTCAATCAGTTTGCTTCTCTAACACATTACTAGTACTGTCATATGTTGGTGAAATTGTTTTGCTTGAAATCTGCAAACCTTCAGTGGTTCACTGTGCTGAGTACAAGTGGGATTTTATATAACACTTTTTTGCATGGTGTTATATTGTTTGTCATAACATACATCCGTATCATAGAATGGAACTTGTTGACACCTGAGATAAATTTAACTGAAAATTAAAACTTCTGTTAGTTGTCAATAATTAATATTTATCAAGAATTTTTCAAAGTATTTTTTTTTTTACATTTAATGCCAAGATAAGAAACAGTCAAAGTTTGCCACTGAAGAGAAATGCAGACATGTCAACTGATATGTGCAAAGAATTTTATATTTTTGTTAATTATAATATTATTTTCTTCTTGAGGTAGATAATTATATTTCTAAAGAGAAGAAAAAAAATAATGAGGATAGAAAAATAAGTGAATGAATGACAGAGGATAGATAAATTTATAAAGTTGTGTTATAAAAAAGGTAATGACATCCCTTAAACAACATAAAAATGTCAGGACATAATTTATCAACATTATTTTTTAACAGGTAATGAATATATGTCCAACCTCCCACTGCAGATGTCTCTATACTTCAATGTGTTTTATTATCCCATCTGGCTGGTCACTGCTGTTGTCATGCTGGAGGCTAAGGTAAGCACTGGCACATACTGTGACACTCAAAGTTATAATATATGACATTTGTTTGGAATGAGCTTTTTTGTCATTTAATACACAAAAGTGATAATATTTATTCTTGTCACTTTGAGTTGGATTGTATATATGCACTATAAGAGAGTGATTAAAGTGAAGAGAAAAAGTGCACGTGAGAATACCAATTGTAGGAAAATTTGATATTTTAAAATGGATAATAATTACTGGTAATTACATTATATGTCATAATGAACTTCCTTTGTCGACCTACTCACTTGTTCATTTATTCATTCATTTTAATTATTCTGAACCATAACTTAGACCTGAGCATAAGCACTCATGCCCATCTGATATATAGTTAAAATAATGTTTTTATTGTTTTTGCATACTTAGTCATGATCATAAATAATTTTGTATTTTGTTTTAGTATTTTGTTCTAGACATCTTCCATTGTACAAGAATATTTTGATGCAGAGTAGTCAAATAAATAGGAGGATGGAAATGTTTAATCTGATTGATTAGCCTACACAAAATGTTAAACTGGTGTAGCTGCAAATTAATAGTTGATTATGATACTAGTTAATTAGGTGGAAATGTGTACACACATCATACATGTCCACTGAGAAAACTTGCTATTTCAGTCCATTTGCTAACATAATATGCATGCAGCTTAAGGTCTTTGAAATATTGATTATAATCCAGTGTTATCCATTTCTATTGAATACCCTTACTGGGAAACCCTAATGAGCACATACATCAAGGTTGCTGCATGACAAGCTGTCGAAGAATTCAACAGTGCATGAACTGTTGTTGATTTTTTAAAGTTTTCTTCTATGATCTAAAATAACATCAACTAGCTGTTGTTTTAAGTCTTCTCTCTTTTTTTGAATTGTAGTGATTCTGAAATAGGATAATGGTATTTTCTGATTTGAAGAAAGGTATCTTGATTTTTAGACAAGATTTTCAAATGAAACTTACAGTGGGAACTGGAAAATGGTCTCAAGCAAAAATGTGTCGTATTTTTTAATGATAGCTGAACCATTTAAATGATATAACATCAAATATTCTGAAGGAATAGAATAAAGGTGTGTATATTGTTCCTAGGTATAGGTTTTTCGGTGTTCTTGGGGCATAATCCAATACACAATAATGGCACAGTGTATCAGGGGTGATGACTTGGGCTGGAGGCCTGTTGTCCGAACAAACTGCCCTATTTGCCAGGAAAAGGTCTGCTCATGGTGAAATTGATTCTGGCACATGAAGATTTCATGGTGGAAGGTCTAATTTTCCAGGAAATGAACCATCCCTCATCCCCTTCCTCCCCTTCCTTTGAAATTGCTGACTATGGGCCTGGGTTGCATTCATAACTGTTCTTAGACTAACCAAATAAGTGTAATGTACTTTTAAGTTAATCAGTCCGCACTAGTTGTGGTGTGTAAATGTAGGTTAATAAAGACTAATGTACAAAGCAGGGAGCTGCCATTCCATTTGTGTACCTCCTGAAGTTAGGATAATATTTTTGTTTGTTTGTTTGACCTGGTTTGAATGCCATTCTGATGACATAAACCCAACCGATCTGTTCTTTAAATCTTCAGCTCAGCACATTACAGATATTGATCTGATCAGGTCTCATTTTGAGTACTTAGGCTATAGTTTAAGCACAGAGACCAAGATGGATTTCCTCTATTAATATCTGAGGCAACTTGGAAAAGCTTTATTGAATATTTAAGAACATGGCGATGATGGTGTTTACTAGGGGTATCTGAGTGGCCATGTTATTAAAGGTCAAGAACAAATTCCATTACAGTCTTGTCAAATTACATGAATACACACTACTGGTCGGGTTTAGAAGTGTGACATTTTGGTGCAAAATAAGATTAACACAACATGTTTTGGGGCCTTGTATGGTTTTCATCTCTTATTTTTTCCTTGTGAAAGAAAGCCAACAGATGTCACACAAAATTGGTTAACATAGCAATTTTCAACAAGGATAATTTTGTCATTACTCCTAAACTGCATGTGCAATTTAAATGGCATTTGAAGTGGAGCCTCCGTTGACAGCAACATGTGACCATTAGATGGTAGTACCATTAGAATTAGTTTTGTATCCATCTAGAAACAATGTTTCAAATGTAAATTTCCTTATTTGAACCTGGCCTAACATTCCAAACACAAACAAACCAGTTTTTCATGTTGATTGATATAAAAGTCTTCATCTGCTTTTAGCAGGCTCTTTCATATTAGCTTGAGTACTTTCTTACGACAGGGACTAATGTTCAAAATGTAACATGTAATAAATACGTAATTCATCCTTTAATGAAAGCTTTGTTAAATTGTTGTTATTTTGATTGAAGTGGGACACTACCTCCTGAAAGCAAGCTGGATTATCACCAATTTTTTTTTCATATTTTTTACTCATATGGTGAGTAGATTTTGTCTTACCATTTTTATCAAAATCGCTATGGTAGAAATGGTGTTTGTGAAATATGAGGAAGCCTCCTCAATTTAAAATTTGTTTGTTTTTTTTTTTCCAAATCATACCAGTACTTAGCCTTGGACACCTTGTACCAGATTATCCTGATAGCGGTGCTGGTTGTGATGACCATTGTGGAAGCCATCCGCCTCTACCTGGGATATGTAGGAAACTTGACAGAGAAGGTTTGTAACCAGTGTCAAGCAGTATTTTAAAGAGGGGGAGGGGGGGGGGGAGGTCCAATGAACCACCCTTTTGCTGGGAAAAGGTCTGCTCTGGGCTAATTTTGATTTAGAATCATGAAGATTTCATGGTCAAAGGTCCACTTTTTCCAAAAAAGAACCCCCTCATTTCAATTGCTGGCCATAGGCCTGTGAAGATTCAGTTGTTTTATAAGGAAGAACTTTATAGTGAAGTCTTCATGTTTGTTGATCCGAGGACCCAAGAGCTCTTATTTCAGCAGAGTAATATTTTGCGGGCGAACCAGATTAGAATACCCTCTACCAGGGCGAGTGATAGATTTTTTTACAGATATTCACAGATATGTCTTTAGCTAGATAGATAGTCATTTACAGCTGAACTCACCCTGTTGAGGAATCTCAAGGCTGATTACATGGCTGATAATCATTTACATAACTGCTCAGGCACTGCCACTTAGCAGGTCCAGTCTAAGTCTGCGTTGTCCAACACGGTCCAACACGGCCCGCACATAAAAAAAAACACAAACAACAGTGTATCAACTATGAAAATAATATTCTATGTCTATATCTGTTTAACTGCCATCTATCGAAGCGCAGTTTTCCACTTGAGGCTGAGATTCTGTGCTGCTGCCTTTCATAGTGAGTTAAGTCAGGTTTCAAACAATCCAGGTCCTAAGATACAGTTTTTGCACTGTCAAAGTTCAAACTGTTCACACTCACGTGTTGCGTTCTCCAGCGTCTCAAATAGTTTTTTTTCAATGTCAAAGTTCAAACTGTTCACACTCACGTGTTGCGTTCTCCAGCGTCTCAAATAGTTTTTTTTCAATGTCAAAGTTCAAACTGTTCACACTCACGTGTTGCGTTCACCAGCGTCTCAAATACAGTTTTTCACTGTCAAAGTCCAGACTGTTCTCACGCACGTTTTTCGTTCACCAACATCCCGCAATCAAAACAGTCCCGCACTTAATAACGTCACAGCGTGACAGCAATCAAGACAGTTAATTACTCTGATTTCAATCACTTGCTCTTCTGTGACAGATAAAAAAGCCTTAGACTGGTTGCGTAACGAGCAGTTATCACTTGGTTGTGAAGCAAAGCTCATGCAGAGCAAGTACAAAGCCTTTGGCGCGTGGGCAGAGATAATTGCTCCCACATGGGATTCCTCAACAGGGTGGGTTTAGCTGAAAATGACCATCTATCTAGCTAGAGACATATCTGTGAATATCTGTAAAAAATCTATCACTCACCCTGGTAGAGGGTAAGATTAGAATATGTTATGATGGTTTTATAGCATATTGTAATGCAGTCTTGTGGAAGACTCTACAGAGAGGTGAAGTGCAGATTAATGTATGGGTTGATCTATGGCCAATGTTCCACATAGCATCTCTTTTTTTTTTTTCGAGTGGCAAATGATATCATAGATATATATATATAGAGAGAGATGGCTGCATGGACAAGTAAAATGATTAAATGGGAAATAAAAATTAATATGGGCACTATTTCTAATCTTACAGAGTGTTTAATTTGAACTGATGTAGGTTTAGCATGCAACAAGGCAATTCCTGCTTGACCTCTTTGATTGATGTTTTCATGTATTTTTTTTATTAGAGGCATTTTCTACATTAGAGAGACCTTTTGCTTGCTTTTGGCAAGATTTCTGATGGATATATCTAAATATGTCTTCATAATGATATGTAGAGGCACTATAATTTCATTAGAAATATCTTGGGAATGAGTATCCTTTGTTTATACTGATACATATAGGCAAATAGGGTAGTTTTAAAATATATAAAAATCATAATAGGAGGCATATATATGGCATTTTGGCATGAAAAAATTATGAGAAAAATAATTTTCCAGTCATTATCTGCAATTAATATAATATTCATAGACCATGGATTCCCGAAATACTGCAGCCATCTCTTCCAAGGTCTTCACATTTAATTTTGCTTAAGCAACATGACATTCTCAGTCAGCTATGGTTTAAAAAACAACTTCAAAAAGTTTGATCAAGTTTTTCACAGTCAAAAATTAGTTTTTAGAAGCCTTGGAGCCACCAAAATTAAAAACTATCATTAACTATAGATATCTAGTATACAATCCCTCTAAACAATATTTGCAATGTAGTCACTAAAGAAAATTACTCAGGTGACTCTGGTGGTGTACTTTGTGAATCAAAGCTAGCAGATTTTATGGTATTTTCTTGGCACTGTCTTCATGTTTGATGTATCCTTTTCTGAAAATCTAAGATACTGAATAAAAATTATCCAGTAAAAGTGTTTTTGTAGTTATTTTTTAAAATGTCATATGGTGGCATCTAGATAGTGATTTGTTAATGCATCCTTCACAGATGTCGTATTAAGGCATCCATTGATGCATTTCACCTTGCAACTCTGATCTCAAAGAAAACCCCAATTAAAATGTCTCTAGGCTTCTAAAAAAGCCTCTCTGACGTCACACCTTTCCTGTCAGGTAATTCCCAGGATGGACTTTCAATTAGACAGGAGAATTGGCCCCACCAGCATTTTCCAATAATGGTCTTACAGCTATTGATGGTCCATATGTTTTTATATGTTTGACTGGTCTGGCTACATGTTTTATTCCCCTGTGTATAACTATAGCTGATACATGGTGTATGGAGGCCTCTTGTCCAGCAGGCATCATTATAATGAAATTGTTATGACTCTGTTGTTAACGTAGCATATCGATCTCAATTATTCTTCCTCGCTGAGCCGCGTGGCAAGATAACTGTGAGAAGCCTCTCCTGGAAACTCAGAGCTTCACTAAAGCATGGCTTATGTAGGGATTACAGTATGCGGTTTCATTTAATCATTTGAATAAACACGTAATTGTGTTAGACTGTGAAGTGAGCACTAGTAGAAAAGAATCAAACACTGATAACAACTCATATTATTAATTGCTTACATTTTCCCTTGAAAAATATATTCTAGTAAATATTATCAATGGTTTTTAAAGGGTGACCTATTGCTATTCTTAGCAAGAATGACTATGAGTTTGTTAGACCAGTTAACATTAATTAATAAAATTGTATTTTAGTTGAAGGCTGTTTGGTTACATCGGATAGATTGGTTCAGTTCTAGGGTATACAGCCTCTGATCTTAACCTGTGAAAAAGAAAATCTCAGTATTATAGAACATTCAAGCCATACAAGATTTAGCGTTAATAAAATTACTTATCGATTTAATGCCCCACAATTGTACAATATTCTATTACCAGGTTCCAGAACTTGCTGGCTTCTGGCTGTTGACTTTACTCCTACAACTTCCACTGATCATGTTCCTGCTGTTCAATGAAGCAGCCGTCTTGTTACCTCTGGAGAGGGCCATGCACATTGTGATGTTTGTCTTTATCTTGTTTGAGGGTGTGTGCGGGTACTTTGCCATAAGAATCATGGTGAACTACCAAGTGACAAAATTCCACATGCAGCAGTTCACGGAGTTGGAGGACCTGGGGTATGAAAAGGATGACTAGTGCACAAGTTGATTTCTTTACTTCAGGTAAGACCTGGAGGAAAAACAGATGTGGGGACTGTGACTGAGACATATGCCTTTGCATATTTGGCAGTTACTTTGACAAATCTCTTGACTGACATTTTTTTGTGGAGTGTTTTGCAAACCCTTTGGGGTCAAATACACTTGAACATGATCAGTCAGAGTGATTGGGTTAGTAAGCAGACTGGGTGCACTTTCACTCAAGCATCGACAGAGATAGACTGACAGTTCATATTCTTTCAAGTATATCACAACTTTGATGTTGTGAAGGTTTGCATGATGGAAGCGTGGAAGCATATTGCTTTTTGACTGACTTTGAGGAAAGTTAACTTCATTATCCTGAAATGGGGATCAAGGCAGCTAACACTAGTTTTTTCCAAGCTGCGTCCCCATGGGCCTGAAGATTCTCAGCCCTGTTTATCCAAAACCAATTTATATATTTAGGCCATGCTTTACTTACTGATAGGTACTAATGCTCAGTAGTTGATTTTATTGACTTCAAACTGTCTTGAGGATTGATATCAGAAAACAGTCCAAAACAGATGCAGGAATATTATTGAAAAAGTCTTTTATTAAAGGAATTTAATGGCTGCATGTAGATCACATAGTTTCTTATTTACATTGAGCAATGCTGTTTTGGCAAAAATTTTGACCATACATTTATGGTGTGTCTTTTTTCTATACTTAATTTGTTGGTCTTTATCCCCAAAAGCTAATCTACTCAAATCCTACATTATTGATAAAATGTTATATTTATGCATTTGGGGATTATTGTTTTATGACCATCAAGTGTAGTTTGCAATGTTTCCACATATTTTTCCATGTTATTCAACCTGAAACTTATTCAATATATATTTTAATAGTGTACACATTTCTAGGAAGCTTGCTGCAGTTCATTTTACAAAGTTGTACAATTTTTTTTCTTTCTTATTTATTTCTTACTTAAACACAGTTTTAGGAATGGTGCTACTTTTGACATACAGGTACAGCATCTATATGTATTACATGTATGTTAATACACATGCCCAGTAACAGATTTTTGGTGCCTTTTTGAAGCCATGTGCTCAGTGGCTGTTTGCAAAAGTAAAAATGTTCTTGTTTGATACATTAAGAATTTTTGCAGAGTCAAAAAAATGCATATAAAATTAAAAGAGTGATCAGTTATAGCCAAGGTCAAATTTTATTTACTGCCAAAACAATAAAAATGCTGTTTGTCTTTTAATTTGTGAAACAATTGAAGATAAGTATATAATAAGTGCGTCATATTCTAGAAAATGCCTTTCCACCACTGGTTAAATCCATATTTGCATGTCTATCAGTACTGTGACATTGTTATGTTAATCTGTATTGGAGTTACAACATTAACTCAAATGACAGTTTCAAGAAGGATGTAATTGAAATGCTACTAGGAGTTTCGTTAAGTCAGAGGACCACCATGTATATTCTGTATATATGTACAAACTCATATTTTCATCATGTACAGATGTTTTTTTGGAACAAAGCGTCATTGCCATCTTCATCTTATAAGAACAGAAATTGTAATGATAAGAAGTAAATCATTTTCAAGAAGACTTTGTTTTCTACCTTTGTTTCACACATTTAGTTTCATTAGCAAAGTTTCTATTTACTTTTTTATCATCATTACACAAGAGACAATGAAAAAAGTATCTCACCAGAAATCATACTGCCTTCCATGTATACTTTAAATTTATAAGTGCATGTATTTTTAACTAAAAAAGAAGGGACTACAATATGCTCCTTTTGTGAAAAATACCTAGGATGTTTTATTAAGTCTGTTGATTAAAACTGTGTTATGTATGGCTAGAATTATTTATGATGGTAAATTTAAGTGAATACAAAATGGAGTACGTGAGACTGTTTTCTCAAGTAACCATAGGCTCATTCTCAGTGAAATTAGCATTCTATGTAGATCCACCCGACTCTGCAGGGACTCTCGCTGAATGCAATCAGAAGAACAGTTTAGCAAGCCTCCTCCATACAGAAAAGCTGGAGATTATAAGAGTATGTTGGAAACGAGGAGGCAGGTTAATCTCTTAATTTGATTGCAATCAGCAAGAGTCACTGTGAAGTTAGATCAACATATGTTGTAGAATGAGTTTCACTGGGATTGAGCCAATACAGTTTAATATTGGCTATTATCATAATGGTTCGTTCATCCCTAATTTAGTTGTGAGTGGGCTGGGAGTTAAGCTTGCGAGAAGAATGGGTTTGCAAGCAGCAGAATGGAAATGGGCTAAGATGGATCAAAACGGTTCAACCACTCCAAAATGCTCCCAAAATCCCAAATTGATTTTTCTATGGCAAACTTTCATTTTTATCCATGCTTTCATAAAAAAGTGTCTCTGATAAATAACCAACGCCTGCATGTACAAAATTGGAAATGCTTTTTATTCAACACAAACCAGCTTTGGCAAAGCAAAGTACATCATTATATGTAACACATTAGAGGTCTAAAAGGTTTTTTATCTAACAGTTACAATGGTGAGTCATGGCATTCACTCCTTCACCCTGTGTTTCAAAGAACATCACAAAGATGCCATTAATTTTAAAGATATATTTAATGTCTCCATTATTAGATCATCTTTTGTGGCAGGTATGCGCTATGAAAGCCAGGGTGAAGCTGTTTTATAAATGAAGTAAATCAATACAGGAACCCGTCTGTGTGACTGAACTGAAGGACATTTAAGTAATAGTTTCAGCCAAAAGGAATGTTTTAAAACAGCAGCTTTGATGCTTGTGGCTAAATATACATTGTCTGGTGCTCTTCTTTCATATCTAATAAACATTCAGCCATTAAGGTTATTTATTACGACTCTCTGGAATATTTCACTTGGTCGTCTCTCACATCTGGTACATTCATGGCACGTCCTCAGTTTATGAGCAGATTTCACTTTCTCTTTGCAAAAAGTCTACTGTTTTCATTCAGTGAAAAACTATCTGCCTGCAATAAGTAAAATCTGATATCTATTCAAAACTGTAACTGAATAACATGCATTACGACTCGCTGAAGCCACCTGTAATAACCATATGTACCTGTTTGAAGATACACTTTTTTTACACACATTTAGTATGTACATTGACTTGCTTCGCGAAGCGATGCGTTCGACTAGAATGCATAACTTCATACATTTATGAGATTACATATTATGTACATTGAAACATAAAGCAGATAGGCACACGCATTCGGCCCATGCATATATGCCTGCACGAATACAGAGTAAAAGACAGTCAGACATATATCTTTTTTTTTTCTTTCCAGCGGCTAAGTACAATTATTTAAATATAAAATAGTTTGTACAAAATAGTGACCTTGAAATCAAAATACTTATATAAACAGCATATTAACACACCCACTTCACGAAACTAATCCAAGAAGCATATTATTTTGTTGAAATGGTGTTTTCAGAGGTTTTGTCCTTTTCATTGTCGTTCGAATCGCAACATGTCTGTTTCTAATATTTTGACCTTTGAGCATTATTTCAATGCTATTTTATACACAAGATCTCATTCACTACCCAAAGATCAAGCATTCGTCTACTAATTCTAAGGGCTGCAATAAGCCGGTCAATTTCATAATTTACGTTGTGTTTAATATTCTTCAATCAAATGTATGCATACGCATGGTTTATTTTGCAATGCCACAAGTTAAATAACGATGTCTGTCAAGGTTGGAATTTTTACCTAAAATTTGCGAGGTCAATAAATGTGTAGAAATAATTGGATAATCGTTAAGTCCGCCGCCAATTCTGGCATTCGATGGTGAAGAACAAAAAAATAAAAGTGCTATTTTTCGACAACGGTAAACCTCCATTAGTTCACCATAGTTAAAAGCATTTTGTAATTCTTTATCTGCAACTGTCGAGTAAAATTGTAACCTTGACTGACGTCATTTTGTCTCATCTAGTGACGTCATGAACTTTCAGTCACACTAAATGAAGTCGTAGTAATTTTGCCGTCGATATTTATTTACATCATGATCATGCTCTCGTCACACAGCGGCTTCCAGACAAAGGCCACGAAGATTTGATCGCTCACTTTTATTTCATGGTGTCCGCAGCAGAGTTTTGCACTCCAATGTCCGTAGCGAGTTTTGACGTGGTTAACACAGTTAGACTCGTCAACTTCACTCTTGGAAATAAGAGTTAGTCCCTTGTTGGTGGTGGGCTGGTCCCATGCTCGGCAAAGTTTCATCCCAAATACTCTACCCTTGTAGTACCCCTTGAGCGGAACGGTGGGTTCGCTTGGCGTGGTCGTAGCATTCCGGATGGCGGCGTCACAGTCCTTTCTACACTTCACTCGCATCTCGTGACAGGGCATCGTTTTGACGTCATAAGATGCGATCCCGCCCAAGTCATGGAGAACCTGCCCCGACTGCGTGGCTATCTGACAGTAACATCTGCAAGATAAAATGTCATTGTGTGTAAATGATTTAATGTTTTTTATCTTTCATTTTCACTTCGAATCATTCACCTTGAAAATATATTTTGCACACACAGAAAGAAATTAAGTTTCTTTGAAAAGGGATGAAACACTTTAAATATAGAAATAAAATTAATAACAAAAGATTTAAACATTATGTCATCCTATATGTGAGTATAGAAAAACGAATTATGTGCATATCCACTGCGCAGTTGAGGCTTGAATCCTTGAAACTATGTAAGAAGTGAGAATTGCCAAGGCAAGAAATGAAAAGGTGCAACTATGATGACAGTGACAGAACTACATGTGAATGAAACACGTTTGCTGCAAACAAGTAGGAAAGGTCATGCAATACAAGGTTTACCGCTAGTTTACACGCACCATTTTATACTCAGTCAATGGCTAAACGCACGTACTGTTTCTTGATAAAAAGCATAAAATAAATAGCGTATTTTGAAGCATCAAGTTATTCTCAACTTTGCAGTCAAAAGCTTATAGCGACCTACAGCATCAAACAATGGGGACAAATATATTTGACAATGTAGGTTAATGGACGATCTCTTGTTATTTCAAAATTGAATTAGTGAAATTGGAAGCTTATCGACCGCTTTGGAGTTACAGATTGTGCAAATATCTGAACCAAAATCTCTGACTTGCTCTAATTTATTTTTACATGTCAGTGTCATGCACAGCGCAAACAAAGTCTATACATAATATGTCTGGTGCCCAAAATTGGCCAATATCAAGGTTGCTTCGTTCATTTACAGTAC